AAGGTGGAGGGTCAGAGAAAAAAAGGAAGACCCCCAGTGAGATGGATCAGCCAGGTGACATCATTGATGGCGTCAAGTGTGGCGGCGGTAGTGAGTTGGCCCAGGATCAGCCATTGTTTCGTTCTGCTATGCGTGGGGTCGCTATGAGTCAGTTCCGACTTGATGGCACCTGACAACAACAACAACATTCAGGGATGGTTCGGTATTAGAAAAGCAGTCATGTAATTCACCACATAAATAAAATAAAGGTAAAAATTGCATGATCATATCAGTTGATGCAGAAAAGGCATTTGACAAAATCCAGCACTTGTTCCTGATAAAAACAGTCAGCAAAATAGGAGTAGAAAGGAAATTCCTGAACATAATTATGGGCATATTTACAAAACCAACAGCCAACATCACTCTTAGTGGTGAAGTCATTCCCCTTGCAGACAGGACCCAGACAAGGATGCCCTTTAATACCACTTCTAATAGATACTGTGCTGGAAATCTTACCCTGCACTATAAAGCAAAAAAAGAGAAATTGAAAGCATCCAAATTAGCAAAGAAGAAGTAGAAGTCTTTTTGTAGTCAATATGATCCTATACATAGAGAATCCCAAAGACTCCGCAAGAAAATTATTGGAACTCATCAATGGATTTGGTAAAGTGGCAGGGTACAAAATCAACATACAAACATAATTTGGATTCCTTTACACTAATAAAGAGCTTTGAAAAGGAAATCAGGAAAACTGTACTAGTTTCAATTAGGCACCCAAAAGAGGTACTACTTGGGAAAAAGTGCAACCAAAGAAACAAAAGACTTATACTGAGAGTGTTATAAAACACCGCTGAAAAAAATACAAAAAAGACCTGCAGAAATGGAAGCATATACCCTGCTTGTGGCGACAAAGATTTAACATTGTGAAAATGTCAACATTACCCAAAGCAATGTACAGATATAATGCAATCCCAATCCAAATTCCAGCATCATCCTTTCAAGAGATGGAAAAATGAATCACTAATTTTACATGGAAAGGAAAGAGATCCCAGATAAGCAGAGCATTATTATTATTAGGATTATTATTTTTCTTTAAGGTTTTTATTGTGGATTGAGTGAAAGTTTACAGGGCAGATCATTAGTTTTACATTCAACAAATCATATACTTTGTTTCATTTTAATGATTATAATCCCCTCCATGTACCATAAGTTAAGAGTATTTCTTTCTATTCATTTTAGTTCTTTAGAAAACAAAAAAACACTTAGGCATATATAATAATTTACACCACCAAAGAATACATTCTGCAAGTCTGCCGCCTGGCCACCAGCTCTCAGTCCCTCTCTTTCCCTGAATCTAGAGTCCTCAGCTGCTCCCTTTCTCCATATCCCCATCTCTCCCTCCATCTCTGGTGTTGCTGCTTCTCTGGATAAGGTCCCACATTCCACTTGTGCTCTTCTCCTTTGAAGGTCCTAGGGTCCTCTGTTTCTGGACTGTAAGTTTAACTACTCCCCTGTTTTTGTTACAAAACTTCTACCTTTACAATTGTGACAGTTGCAATTAGTCATGATAACAATTACTCACTATTGAATAATCAGAATCTTATCCCCATCTCTTTTAACCAGACCCATCTAGACAAGATGAAAACTATTCAGCGGGAACTCTTTCTTTCCCCACACACTATTAAACTCCCCCTTGAAACCTTGTAAAACCAGTCACTTCGTGCCTTTATCACCCTCATTTTAGGTAGCCAATGTCTGAGTTGCCCATCCCTATCAACCCTGTGTACAGAGGAGATAGCATTGAAGCTTGATATGAAGTTTCCTTCACTCTCTGTTGGTATTTAGAGTTACTATCTCCATGAGTATAGGTCAGGTTCATCCAATTGTAGCAATTTACCCTTGTTTCCTTTATAAAAAATTGTTTGTTTTTTTCTCTTATTCTAGTCGAGTTCTGATTATCAAGCCAT